CAAATATGACGAAGATGAGCCAAGACGGTTTCATATTATAAATTATATACTTTCAGGAGTTGCCCCCCCAGTGGCACAGCGGTATGTCTGCGGACTTACAACGCTAAAAACCGGGTTTCGATACCCGTGGTGGGCAGAGCACAGATAGCCCTTTGTGTAGCTTTGTGCTTAACTTCAAACAAATCAAAATCTTTCAGGAGTTAATTTGTATAAAAACAAGACAGAAATTATTTCACTCTTGTCAACTTACGTGACTCTCGAGAGATTGGTAACGTCAGTCCATTGTTTTGTGGTTCTGAAAAAAAAAAGAAAGAAAAGAGAAGGGTTTTCGTCTTGAATATTTCTACACATATGTATGATTCTAACTTATTATTTAATAGAATAATGTTTTCTCTTTTCACATTACCTTGTTTTTATTATTGGGTTATTATTATAGCTTGCTTCCCAATAAATCACTAACATTATTTTCAACAATAGTATAAATGAAAAAAGAGAAAAATTGAAAACAAAAAAGTTAAAAAAATATCATTAGACGTCAAGAATAGGAGCATCATAAGTTAATTATTTCTGTGTTTTTACCTTCATGTTTCCTTTTTTTTTTACTTCGGTGAGTTTTTATCAAAATATTCAGCTGAATAAAAATTTAAAGGTACTTATCAGAAGGCGGAGGTAGTTATAAAGAACTAAGTAGTTGATAAAATCCTTACGAAGAAACCACTGTATTGAGAGAGTTATTTTAAATTAACTTTTCGTTATTAGAATCGTTTCTAAGTAATCGATAAGCTTTTAGGACTGCTTATACTTGAATTACAGTTTCCAAATTAGCCAAATTTCGAAAATTAATAGTGTTATTTGCGTGACTTACTACTCAACCTAAAGAGGACTTGATTCTTTAAAAAAAGTATCTCTTTTCGCAATATGACTGAAAGAAAAAATAGTTATAGCTGCTAACACTTTTGTGTTATCACATAATAAAATGACAAAAAAACGGATATTAAGATAACGAAAGTACAGCTATGTAATAACATTTAATGTGATAACATCACTGTGCTGTAAAATCATTATTAGAATCTCACATTTTAAAACAAATCTAGTATGCATGTTTTCAGGGAACAGCTGTTGAAATAGCTCATTTTGTTAATATAGCTAAGCTATATTGTAACTCTGGTAGTTATGATGTTGAATACAGATGGACTCATGCGCGGGTAACTATACTACGTAAAAAAAAAGCTAAATCAAAATTACACTTTCTAAAGCATATATATTACTGAGAGCGAAATAAGTAAACCCGATGAGCTCATTTTATACTTTTTGTACCGAAATAAAGTGCCAACGATGTTTTTTATCGATATATGTTTTAGTATAATTATTTGCATCAGATGGCGTATTTAGAACTGTAAGAAATGAGAAAGGTGGTGAAAGCGTTGCATCTTGTGGGTTTCATTTTAGTTTTATTGTCTTGATTAGCGAGGATGATTAAAGCTTCATATATAAGGAACGACCAATTTGGAAGTCAGCACGAAAGACCAGGGATCTGTATCTGAAAAAAAAAGGAATAGGTTGATATAACTTTTAGTTTCTTTGATCCTGAAAAAGATTTCGTCTGTGATCATTTATTTACTGGGTGAGTGAAACCAAGTTATTAAGAAATACCTTAATAGTCACATAGAGAGTCAAAAGAGTTTTATATATTGTTTTACCTGTTGATGGAATATTTAGCTCTAAGTTAAAGTTTTCTTCGTAGAATTGAAAGACGGCCTTAAATCCTTGGCCAGAAAATTGTGCCTGACTTTTAAACTCGACATACAGATCTGGCCCAGTAGAGACAATTTCCACATAATCATGGTGGTTGCAGAGTTCTCCAATCACAGGGCTCCGGGCATCCTTCCCGTCGTGCACGCTGATTTTGTCTGCGCTGCCTAGACAACTGAAAAATTATATAAAAAGTCGGTAAATACTTTTCTTTTTTCTTAAAGTTGTTTAAAGTAACTTTTCAAGTGAACGTGTATAACCTCACTGCAATGAAAATACGACCACTCAACTTCTGTATATTCTCTATGGGATTTATGGGAAAAATAAAATTACACTAGCATGAGTTGAAGAATACTAAAGACTTGCAGATTCACACAGAGTTTACCCTGCAGATTAATTGTGAAGTATTGCAGTTTGTAGTTACGTCTCGCTATGGATTTACCAAGTTTGTTGAAGGCTGAACTAGTATAGTCTGTGTCTGGGTAAGAATAGAGTAAAGTTTCTATGCATTATCTTGATTATTGGTCACATCTTATAAGGAACATATATATATATATTGTAGAGATATTCAATAAATGAGTTGACTAATATCACAGTGTTCGCGAAAAAAGTAACGTTTCTGTTCTCAAACATTTGCCTTCGCCAAATCCTGATGTTGAGACGTTGTCCAACGAACTCCATGACCTTACACAATAGGCTTTTGAATTTGCTGAGTCCTCCTCAGAGCGTTTTGTGAATGTTTATCTCTTTGTATGTTTTCTTTATTTTCATTCGTACTATAATACGTTTTCGATATTTCCCATTTATTATTCCTTCTTGTACGTATACTTGAGATATGTTTTACTTGCCCGAATATTTCTGTAGTGTGAAAGTTTGTTTGTAATTAAACTACACAATGGGCTATCTGTACTCTGAACAAAGCACGGGTATCGAAACCCTGATTCGAGCGTTGTAAGTCCGCAGACATACCGTTGTGCCACTGGGGGCGCAATGTGAAAGTAAGAATTAACAGTGGGTTTGTGTGTTACATGCTCAGCATGGAGAATGTTTGTGCAAGTTAACTCCTTGACACCTATATTGAAAGCCTCTACTACGTGAAAGAAAAGAGTGAGTAATTACGAAAATTGATAGAAATCGTTCGGTTTTTTATCCGAGTGTATAAACTGACTTAACTTCTCTAAAGATGTAACCTACATTTATTTTGATAAGTCTAATTGAGAAAAGAATGAGGCTTCTATCTCCTTCCCGTCTTAATTTTTTCAAGGCATCATTCGCCAGAATGCAACCTTACGGAAGAGTTCTCTTTTTTCAGAGTATAGATCCTTCACTAAGTGAGTTGCTAGTCAGTTGCTAGGGCAAATTCAACGGGAAAAGTAAAAAACTCGTTGATCGAAAGTTTCTTTTTTTTAGTTCCTGCTAAAAAAAAACTATCGTCTTTAGTATAAAAACAATATCCGAAAGAATGATGTGCAAGAACATTTTAAATGAAATTACCTTAATACCTACGAAGGACGAAGAAAGAACATAACCGAATTTGTGAGATTGTGAGGCCACTGTAAAAGCTTTGTGGACCTAAATCAATTCAAACACGATAACTGAACTGAAAACGCTCTTTGGCCTGTTTGTACGTAGAAGTTATATATATATATATGTCTGCAGACAGTGAAGGGTGATTTATTAGGTCGTC